TGGCAATCGGAGCTGGTTCAATCAATGTTACGTTATAACGCTTCAGCGTTCTTCCCTAATTAGTTCAAACAGCTTCTTTAGAGGGAGCCATATTTGCCCTGTCTTTGTATTTTCAACAAGCTGCGTGAATGTAAGGGTTTTCCACCGGACAAGGGGAACGGGGCCTCTTTTTACAAAAAGAAGAAAAACACCCGCCTGAGCAGGAGGCCGGTGGGTCTTGGCTTTCCCACTTGTGCTCCAGGCCCCGCTGACTCCCAGTTTGCTCCCTGCCAAGGGGCTCACAGCCGCTTCCTTCTGTCCCAGGTGGAGGAGGTCATTCACCCCCAATTCATGGAACAAATAATTTCCCCGGACGCACAACAGGATCCCTTGGCCCTAGCTGAGGAGTTGGAGCAGGAAGAAGGGCTCACTGCTGCCCAGGTGAGCCAGGGGAGGGTGGACATTAGGGAGATGGGAGGGGGTCCCCAAGTGAGCCATAGCACCCAGGGACAAAAGGGGAGTTAGAGGAGGGACAGGCCCTAGTGAGTCAGGGAGAGAGGGGTGAGATTGGGGTTGGGGGAACCTCAGGGAGCCAGGGGAGGGCGCACCCAGGTAAACCAAGGCAGGGAGCAGCCCAGAACCAGGACACACAAGCCAGTGTCCACGCCACCCCTGCCTGCAGGCACCGCGTGCCGAGGTACCAGCCCTGGGTGGGAGCAGGGCAGGACGACAAGAAGGAGAGGGCTATAGACAGGAGAGGGTGGGAGCCCAGAAGGGGAGGGGCCACAAAGCTGGGAATATGGCACAGGGGACAGAGGAGAGACACATGACTGTGGTGGATTCCAGTCACGGTGTCACCTCCCCCTCCTCCCCCCAGTGCCATTGTCCCGTCACCCACACTCCTCCTCCTCACACACGTGTGCAGCGCCAGTCACTGTCCCTTCTTCCTCCCAGCTGGTAGAGAAGCGAGTGCTGGCCTCCATGGCGGGGGGCGTGCAGGCACCCCCGAGTCACGGTGCTCCCCTATGGGACTCAAGTCCTTCTGAGTCTGCGACCAGCCAAGATGTCCAGAGGCGTGACCGTGGCCCCCAGCTGGGGGTCAGTGACAAAGCCTGCCCACCAGAGACTGACTTCAAGGACCAGCAAAGGCGCGGCCCAGCAGGCGCCCACCGGCCCAGGCCCCAGGCCTTTGCTGTCTCTGCGGGGCGTCAGGAGCACCCACCACTCCGGGCTCGATGCCCCCCCTCTGCTCCCCAGGGCCACGGGCCTGCTGACTGTGCACTGGACCCCAGGGAGGCCTGCGTCCCCAGAGAGGCCTCTCCTGTCAGGGAGACTCGCGGGCCAGCGGACAGGCCCCGTGTGGAGGACGAGGACCTCTGCAGCCTGGCCTTCCTCTGGGCCTCTCCCAGCCGCCTGCTGCCCTGCGCGCTCTCTCTGAGTCCTGTCCCCGCCTTGGGCCTGGCCCGCCCTGGAGGTCGGGGGCCCCGGGGCGCGGCCCAGACCCAGTCCCTTCAGAGACAGAGACGAGGCCGAGCTGCACCTGCAGCGTCCAAGTCTCAGAAGCGGGCTCTGGGGGGAGGCCCCGTCCACGCTGAGAAGACCCCCCGCCCAGGGGCCGACCTCGGGGTCTGTGGGCGGCCAGCACTGGCTCTGGGACTGGTGCCCTCCTCACAGCCTCGCAAGAGGAAGTGTGACCCGTCTGACCCAGGGAGTGGGAGGAAGCGGCACTGCAGCCAGGATGGAGCAGAGGGGTGTGCCCCCCACTGCCAGCGCCCCGAGGGGCCCAGACTGCATGGGGCCTGGCTGTCCCCCAGAGGAGCCAAGGGCTCCTTCTCATCGCAGGGCTGATCCTGCTGTTCCACTGACATGGGAGGATGGGAGGCAGGAGGGAGGGCGGGACCCTTAGGGCGTGGGTGGGTATGGAGGTGGGGGTAGGAGGGAGGGCAGGTCCCTTAGGGTGGGGGTGGGCCTGGGGTGGGGGTAGGAGGGAGGGCAGGACCATTAGGGTGGGGGTGGGCCTGGGTGGGGGTAGGAGGGAGGGCAGGACCCTTAGGGTGGGGGTGGGTCTGGGGTGGGGGTAGGAGTAGCACCTTTGGGGCATTGTGGGTCTGTTATGAATAAAGATAATTTTGTTTGAAAATGCTCTGGGGGCCGCTGTGTCTGTACTGGGGTCTGCGCTGCTCCTTGGAGAGGGGACCTGAGAGGAAGGGAGGATGCGGGAGGTCCTGGGCGCTCTGCATCCACAGGGGACCCTCAGTCCCTCCTCCTGATTGACAGGGACCTCTTCCTGCTCCTGGGAGCACACAGCTCTCTAATGCCCAGGGACCCCTCCCACCACTTCTGCTCCCAAGGCCAGATTGTGCCCTGACCCGAGAGGGAAAGGCTGGGCCTCAGGGGCAGGCTGTCCCCCATGGGCCTCCTGCAGGAGGAGCATCCTCTGTCTCAGCGGGTGATTGAAAGTGGAGGGGTGTGGGGGCGAGTCTGGAACAAGGGGGTGACAGGAGAGTAATGGCGACAAGCCTGTTAAAGGTGGGTACACGGGGAATGACAGTGGGTGGGAGGATACCAAGTCCCTTGGGGGATTTCTGTGTGGGACGATCCTGTCCAGCTGGGGGAGGAGGACCCCTCTGCTGTGGCTGGGGGACGGGGCTCAGGGACAACGGGGATTCAAGGACGCCCACGACTGCTGTCCCTTCCCTCCCAACCAGGGCTGGACTCTTGTGTGAGAGATGCTGACACAGATTTACATCCGCGTGGGAAACAGGTCCTACTCACAACCTGTGGGGCCCTTTCACAAGCTTGACCAGCAGGGGCGGCAGGGGCCTAGGTGCGTGTGGCCCCAGGGCTGGTGGCAGCTGAGATCCAGGCTGAGGGAGGGGCCCCGTCACCGGCTGTGGGCACTGCTACCGACCCCACAGACAAAGCAGGGACCTGGTCCGGATGTAAGAGTGAGATGAGCCAGCAGTGAGGGATGGAGCTGAGCCAGGAGGAGACCCCTGTCTGCAGAACTGCCTGTCCCAGCTCTGCTCCCACGTGGCCACGCCCTGGCCCTCACCCCTGCCTCCTGGCAATTGCCTCTTCCCCAAGTTCAAGTCTGATTCCTGCCCTGGGCTCAGGTTGGGTGGGACGGCTGAGGCTCCCGAGCAAGGCCCCAGCCCACCCAGCATGCAAAGCTGTGGCCCCGGGCGGTGGTCCGGCAGCAGCGATGGTGGGGCTGAAGCCGCGCAGTGAAAGGAGGCCTGGCCCTCTGCTGCCCCCACAAAGAGCTCGGGCGAGAATGGACTCATGTCAGGGCCCTCACCCCCTCCCACAAAATCGCAGGTCAGCCCTCAGGTCCTCTGCTGCCTTCCCTTGTCCCGTGTGGCGGCAGCACCCACTCTCCCAGCCTCCTGGGCACTTTGTGAAGGAGACTTCTCACCAATCATTGGTTTATGTGTACCATGAGGTGAAAAAGGTAGAAATCACTGGTCTAATCTAATCTGCCTGGAGCCACCTGAGGGGCTGATGCAAGGCCCTTGTCTTGCTTTTGCCTAACTGGGAACTCTCTTAGATGGAAAGGCATGAGCAACGCTTGGCAACACCGTGAGGCAAACACAGGTTGCAGCTGCCTGGCGCACAGTTGAGGCAAAAATAGAGCGCTGAAGCCCCAGAGGAAAACCCGGGAGAGAGCTTCTTTGGAAAAACAGGCCACCGGCAAAGTGCCAGTGTATACAGTACTAGGGAATGTAGAAGGCTGCTCTGCACGCCTGGGCGTGATGCATGCTCAGGAAAAGGGCCTGAGAAGACCCTAAGTTTTCACCTCTAGCTGACCTCTGGGCTCAATGAAGCAGGAAGTGAAGGCTAACATTCTGCAGCACGCCCCAAAAATATAGTTTTTGCTGATCTGGCAAAAAGAATAGGTATAATTTGGATTCACTCACACCAGGAGGCTATTGCTGTGTTGGCTGATGTCATTTTTTAGTTTGACAATCGAAGGGAAAAGAGGTCAGTGCCCCTGGCTAAATGGTCAGGTGTTGCAGGTTTTAAACATTCTTGCGGTGCAACCGTTAGAAACTGCTGGATCTGACAGACACAGTTCTCTGAGAATACGGTCTACTCTGCTCCCTTCACAGTCAAAGGTCAGGCAGGGTTCCTCACTGGGAACGTGGTCTTCACAGCTGCCACCCAGCCAGGGAGCGGGTGGAGCATGGGCGGTTAAGATGCGCCAAAGCTTTCCTACCATTTTGAAGTTGCCTTTTTTGATTTGGCTTTTTTGTTTTGTTTTATTTTACAAAGTTCTGATAAAGTGATTCTGACCAGTTTTCTTGGTATTTCAATGTTTCAC